TTTTCACAATAGACATTTATACACCATTCGATAGAGAATTTCAAGGGCTACATTTTACACTATTTATATTTGATATACGAATTATTTGAATTTTCGGCCTAATGTCCGCTTGGATGCCCACTGTGCACTCTTGTCAATTGTTTTGACGCGTTGAACTACATGAGAGGAATATACTGAAAATATCGTAGTCCAAAATAATTGTTGTTAATCGATTTTTTATGTTCATCCATCTGGTAAATTTCCTCGAATGAAACAAACATTTTTCTGAATGATTATGAGTGAGAAAATATCTAGAAAACGCACAAAGAATGTAATGCAAATGTACTAAGTATTTTTCAATGAGCAAACAGTACCTTTGTTTTCAACAAGTCTAATATAATAATAATATAACTGATCGGTGAAGATATAGAGGGTTTCGATTCTTATTAGCAATGCAAGATGAAGATTTCTGATCAGCCAGTTACATCCAATTCGAACGTTGATACTGCTGGATACATCCATATTCATGTGTAGAATAGAGGGTATGGCTACGTTTTACGTAATTAAATTTTGAAGTATTCGAAGTGCTCTTCCATTTTCTGTTTGTTTAGATACTTTAAGTTACATTCGGTTTTAGTCCGTACTAGGAGCCCACTTTTGCCTAGGCTAATCTCAGGTTGGACTGAATCCCACAATAGATGCTGACATATATATATAATTATACTCGCTTGGACACACCTTCATAAAACAAATATATTTTGTGCGCAGTTGAAGTAGAATGGTTACAGGGGAAAACCGATTGTAAATTAAAATATCTAAAAATAGAAAACGGAAGTGCACTTAGATTACTTCAAAACAATATATGGAAGGTGAAAAAGCGTTAAATAAATGATAGAAGAGAAGTTACAAAATATAAAACAATGTGAATTTTTGTTGAAATAAAATGAAAATTTCTAAACATACACCAAGTTTTTTTCTTCCTGCGAAATAGGAGGAAAAGGTGGGGAACGAGAAAGATATTCATCCATATTCATGTGTAGAATAGAGGCTACGACCACGTTGTAAGTGGTCGTAGCGTAAATAATTAAATATTGAAGTATTCTAGGTTTTCTATTTTTAGATATTTTAATTTACATTGGGTTTTCCCCTGTAATCATATTATGTCCATTACACATTTGTTTTGTGAAGATGTGTCTAAACGAGTGTGATTATGTGTATATGAGTGAGTTGCATTGGCATTGTACCGTTTCAAAAAAAAACAATTTTCGAATAAAAAAATTCTAAATCATATATTAGATAGTACTACTTTCAAGGTTTATGGAAAAAAATTCCTAGCACTTGGTCGTATATTGGCTGTGAAATTTGATCTTTTTCAAGAGCTATAGCTCTGAGTATTGTCAATAAATGGACTTAGAAGAATGGACTCGAATGTTTTTTGAATAACATTTGATAGTAAGTGCTAGAGAGCTTCGACCTTCGCCATGCGAAAGAAGATACTTGCTGACATGTTTTCAAATCTATTGATGTATTATGAGTGTCAGTTATACTCAGTTTTGATCAAGTTATAGACAAAATACATCTCGGACATTTTTCGGAAAACCTTCGTTTCTTTCGAGAGGCGACGCCAAAATCACTCTGTTTTGGCCTTGTTTCGTTCATATCTCGACAATCAAAAAGATAGATACATTTTTTTCAGTACTGTATAACCATATATTATTACCATAAATATTTAATACCATAAATATTAAGTTTTATTCCGTAGAACAGAACATAGTTCTCTATATTTAGTTATGAGACGTTATGACGAAGCGTTCAAAGACTGGACCTTTCTCTTTTACAGAAAACGAATGTATTACCAACGGTAGATTCGGCAAAATTATTATTGAACAGATGTAAGGAACTGATTTACAATATATAAAACAAATTGGATTTTTGTTGTAATAAAACGAAAATTTGTTCTGTTGATTACATACACCAAGTTTTTTTCTTCCTGTGAAATAGGAGGAAAAGGAGGGGAACGAGACAGATATTCATACGTAAAATACAGGTGACGGCCATGTTGTACCTAATTAAATTCTCAAGTATTCAAAGAGCACTTCCGTTTTCTATTTTTAGATATTTTGATTTATATTCGGTTTTCCCACGTAAGCATGCTACCTCAACTGCGCACAAAATATGTTTGTTTTGCGAAGGTGTGTCCAAATCAGTGTGATTATATATATACATATATACAAATGAGAGAAACAGGTGTATAATTCTCTATATGTAGTTATGAGACGTTATGACGAAGCGTTCAAAGACTGGATCTTTCTCTTTTACAGAAAACGAATGTATTACCAACGGTAGGTTCAGCAAAATTGTTATTCAACTCATTTAAGGAGAGAAATCGGAGTAAAAAAGTAAGTGTAACGATAGCAGATTTTCATCTCATGTTTATTTAATCACTTGATAACTAATTGAAAATCGACGTTTGATCAAACCCCATTGATATTTTCATGATAAAATGTTACATAAATCGAGAGAAGTTATGATAGTTCTTATTTCACGCGGAATAAAAGTCGAGTGAGAGAAGTGTGAGATTCCCTCGATGAGAGATAAAAGGATCTAAATAAAATGATGATTTTCAACTGTGCAATCTTCATGTCGAAGCACGAGAAGTGAGCGAAATCCAGTTGACCATTATGCATAGTAAGTTTATTGCACGCGTATATTATCTGATGAAATGCTGCCGTTATGATGCATTGCTGCTATATCGTTCTCCGCTTAAATTTTAGCCGAAACTGGTGCCAACGAGGATCACAGAATACATGAATATGTTAAGTCTTAGTGAGGAGACTGTTTTAGATTTTTCTAGAATTTCTTCCGTATGGAACATCACTTATCATTCCTTTCTATAGTCAACAAGAGATTAAGAAATTTCGCGGTTATAAGATAACGTTTCACTAATGAGAACTCCAATGAGAGTATACATACAAGTTTTCTATCAGAAAATGTGTATCAGATGTGGTTATTTTGAGAAATTATTCAAAATTCTTGTTTAGGGAAGGAAGGTAGAAAGCAGTATTTATTGATAAAGCTTCAGAATATAATATCGCTAACAACGTGTCCGAGTATATGAATTACTATGTACTGTGAACTACTATTGATCTCAAAATGTAGTACAATCCACTACCTTTTGAATAATGTTTGACAGGAAAGAGATGGAGACTTGAAGTTGTTAATCATTCGATAGAGCTATTCGTCTTTGAATTTGATTGTTGTATTAGGTTTAGATCTTTTGTGCTTTAATTTGTACTAGATATTGTTGTAGCTTATGTATGTCTTGATGTTCTGTCGGAAAATATCTTTGTCTTATTTCAAGTGCTTTGGTAAAGTTTTTAGTTGCTTCTTCGAATTTATTCAGTATAGCAAAAACAAGTCCTCGGTTAGCGTAAAAGTTTGGGATCTGTGGATGATCATATAATGATATTGATAATTGATTGATTATAGCAATAGCTTTGTCATAGTTAATCACAGCATGCTGATAATCGCCTAGTAAATGATGAACAAATGCCACGTTATGATAGAATGTTGCTACATCAATGTGTAAATGGCCATAATGTTTTATTAAAAGACTTTGTGCTTCCTCCCGATATTTAAGCGCACTACGATAATTTGTTAATTGTATTTGTTCTAAAGCTGCTTTATTCATTTCATATATCTTTTTTTTTGTCCGTCACTTCTATCTCTTGATAAACTGGAAAATCATTAGTAAAATCAGATTCTACTTAATGACTCGACTGTCCACTTGTTCAATCGATAAACGTTCCATATCGAGACTAAGATCGACTTCGAATGATTTACGCTTTTTACTTTCACGTTTAATTTGAAATCGACTTTTTCCATTTTTAGACAGTAACAAATTTTCTAGTTCTGTATTTCTGTTAAATAAAGCAATATCTAAAGGACTCGGGCGTTTTTCATCACCACCGTTGACATCACTCTGGCACTCATTCACTAGAAATTCTGTTAGATTCTTGTGGTTGTGCGCAATAGCATAATGCAGTGATGTATCCCCATAAGCATCCTGAACAAAAGACGAAACCACCTTCATCAATCACAAACTCAAATTAAATTGTTTGAACACTATCATGACTGTTTAGCCGAGAATCACTTTTTTCCACAGTCTTATCATGAAAAAACATATTTTTGCTACTATTAGTACTCTTTCATCTCAAGTTTTTATTAACTTCAGCTGAGTGAGATATTTGATTACTTGGCATATAAAAAGATATAATTACCTTCGGACGAGGGCACCTTTTCAAGTGTCCAATCGCTTTTTCCTTAAAACATACACGATTGTGGGTGATCTTTGGCGTTGATCATGAATCTGATGTCTGTTTCTGCTGGTAGACCTTTCTGTGGTGGGTCTCTGGAATCCGGATGTCCGAAGACCCACTCTGAATTTCCAGCTGAAGATATTTTGACACTGCTAGATTGTAGATAGAGCACGGTGAGTTACCAATGCGGGAAAACGTTCAGAATCAACCAGCAACTTTTCGCAGAGATAGATAATTTAAGGTTCAGAAGCCTAAAATATTTTAGTTCCCTACTGGATCAGAAAGTAAAATTTTTCTATATCTGCGAAAACTTGTTTGTCGATTTTGAACATTTTCCCACATAGGTAATTCAACGTGCTCTATCTACAATTTAGCAGTGTCAAAATATCTTCAGCTGGAAATTCAGAGTGGGTCTTCGGACATCCGGATTCCAGAGACCCACCACAGAAAGGTCTACCAGCAGAAACAGACATCAGATTCATGATCAACGCCAAAGACCACCCACAATCGTGTATGTTTTAAGAAAAAACCCATTGGACACTTGGGAAGGTTCCCTCGTAAGAGAATTATTTATTGTAATATTACTAGGTTCCACTAAAAATGATCTAGTCTTAATCTTATCCAGTGTCTAATTTTAGAACTTACCGTTAGATTTACATTATTATATGATTGTTGTTCATGCACGTATCTAGCACAATTAATAGCTCCTTTACAGCAAGCTAACATGAAAACTGTTCTACCTAAACATAGCAAAAACAATTCATTTTAGGATAAATGAATCTGTTAAAACTCACCAAACTTTTCAGTTATTGTGAGTGCTTTCATGCAATTAGCATGAATTTTTTCTACATTGCTGGGTGGTAATTTTACTTGACTATGAACCTTAGTTGTGAGTGCTTTCAACATTTCTAAATCGTCTTTTTCAGCAGCATAGTGGGCGGCTGTGTAACCATCTTTGTCTGTCGCACATGTATCAACTTCTCTCATCAACAACAATCGAATCCATACATAACTAAATGATTGTGTAACAACAACATGCAAAATCGTCTAAAAAATATTAACGGTTTAGAAAGCAAATATTCGAAGATGCTTAGAGTTCATTGACCCTATTCTTAATCGAAGAATAAAATATTATTTACACTGACTTATGCCACACAGGGGGCAAAATACCTATACTAGATGAAATAACCCATTTTTGATTATTCTCATCAAAAATTAAAAGGATCATAACTCGGTCAAAATCCATCCAATCTACTTTAGAATGTCATAGAATATCCTGATTTAACCGCTCAATCTGATTATGTACGTAAAATCATTAAAAATATTCTCTTAGTTTCGAAGGTTTCTGGGAAATCTTTCTAGAAAAAAAAAGTATTTTCTCTTGGTTTTTCTACATTTATTCAGCTTTACTGCTGATAAAATAGAGTATTTTCTGACATTCTGAAGTAGGCTGGCTGGACTTTGACTGACTTATGATCTTTTTAATTTTTGATGAAAATAATCAACAATGGGTTATTTCACCTAGTGTACGTTTTCGCTCGGTTGTTGCATTTTGTTCTGAAAACTAAGATTGTCACGAGGTTCATCATAGTCGATAAAGTATGTTTCCACTCATTTTTGAAAATTTTTCCAAATTCGCTTTTGCGTATGAAAACATAGTTTCAGGTCTTGGCTAGTGAAGGATGAAAACCGCAAGTCTCTATCGTTTACTCCTTTTGAGTTATTATGCCTGTAGCAACAAATGTAAATGTTAAAACTTTGGTCAAAAAAGAGACATTTAACATTTAAAATGTTTCTTTTATCAGCTGCGTCAGAACAGAATTCTGTTCTGGCACAGCTGTTAAAAGAAACATTTTAAATGTAAAATGTCTCTTTTTTTGACCAAGGTTTTAACATTTACATTTGTTGCTACAGGCCTATTGAAAAAATAATTACCGGCCTTGGGGTCGATAGTAGTTCCAATTCCCAGATTGACTGTATCAAACCCCGCCCCCCACTTTTTTGAAAAAGTTTCGAATTTTGAGTTGAGCAAAGCCTGATGTAGAGGATAGTGTGGGCTACAAAATGAGATCACTCCCAGCACGCCATGACCCTTTTTCAAAAAGTCATGTATTTTCGAAGTTTTTCCTTCAAAGTCTAAAAATACTCAATTTTTAAGTTTCATAAACTTTTCTCTCTTTTTCTGTACATTCCAAATTTTTCTTACACGTAGTCTGACAGAAAAATGTGTTTTCTTCGTAATAAGACGTCTCTCCGACTTTTCTGATGAGTTTTCATGGAGATATAAGCATCGCGGCAAATGCCTTGAAAAGAACAGCATATATACACTTGGTTTTTTCTCATAAACTACTTTTTTTGTTACCGGGCTTCATTGGACCACACTACGACCTCCTTAAATTTCATCCGATCGAGTTAAAAACTAACCCAGAGGTACTTAAGACACTATTGTAGAGGTAGTTTTTTGAAATTTTCTTCTAGATCTTTCTTTACCGAGTTATAGGGTTTATAAAATTGAAAAACTTGGTTTTTGAAACGTTTTTCAGTATTTTTCTTAGAATTCGACAAGGAAAGGTCTTTAAAAGATTTCCCGAGCAATATGACTCTCTGGTAAAATTTTTAACTCGCTCGGATGAAATTTAAGAGGGGTCGTAGTGTGATTTAATGAAAAATCGGGTTTGGAAAACTGATGAACGGCAATAGTTAAAAACTTGAAACAAAAACGAAAAGTGCTCCATTGAGTTTCCAATCAGTTCTGAAAATATGAAGTCTTAGTGAGTTTTAGTTTTAAATTCAAAGCATTTCTACGGAAAGTCTAAAATGACGGGAGGAGTACCATTAACGCTTGTTATGATTTCTTGTTAGAAACCACATTCCAGTTAAACATTTTCAAGAATAAATACTTTTTCTAAATTATTTTATTCAATAAAATTTGTAGTATCACAGTAACATAGAGAAAAATAATTAAAAGAAGCAGAAAGAGAGAGATTTCAGAATATACAATGTATTTTACAAAATGTCCAACAGGCATACAACTTAGTGGAGTGGATGAAGATGAGGAAGAATAGTGACTATTCTTACTTTTTTCTTCATTGTTTTTAAATCTCTGTCATCGCCTTCACTATTAAAGTTGTAAATATGTGTTGAACGTTTTGCAAAATTCATTGTATATTTTGAAATCTTTCCCTCTTTCTGCTTCTTTTAACTATTTTTCTCTATGTTACTGTGATACTACATATAATAGTAAAGAAAGCAACAAGCTTGATAGAGAAGAATTAAGACAAATTTATTTTTAAAGATTTCCGCTATGTAACGTTCTGTCGCGTTGTTTTGGTTCATATTCATTACTGCATAATAAAATCTTTTTATTTATATAACGGAGTATACATACGCCTTGCACAAAATGTCGAACGCTGTTACCTTCGTGTTCCGACTATTCTGAAGATTTCGCTTGTTTTTTGTTTAAAAGAGCAAAGTTTGAACTACAAAATGTGCATCAAACAAAATTTTCTCTCGCAAAACTATATTGAGAAAAATTCAAAAATTAAACATCGCTAAAAATGTTTGGGTAAAATTTTACTAAAACATATCAAGAAAATCTTTTCACTGTTGTCGAAAATAATCGCTTTTTACTAAAATCAAGTAGACGGAAAAAATAGCTCGTAAAAAGTTCTATCGACCCGATCTCCTTAAAAAATTTTCAAGTTCACTTTTAGTGGTTGTCTGAAATGCTTTCTAAAAGTCAGCTACTTTGAAAATCGAGATTTTGCATCTAACATTTACGACTTTCAGTAGGGGTGTCACATAAAACAGGAAGTAAATGAGATTAGATTTTATTTTATAAGTTTGTTAAACATTGAATGAAGATTAAGATTTAGTTCAAAAAGTGGAAAAATTTCATTTTTTAACTCAAGAATTGGCAATTAATGCTGACTAATTGACTCTTTAACGGTGACCAATTATTTCTTCACGAAAATCAAATAAAAAGAAAATCTATTGCTTACTGTTCGAAAGAACGTTTCAAATACTCTTAGATGAAATAATCAGTCATGCTTTAAACAGGAAGAGGATCGTTTCGAAGACGATAGAGAGCGGACAGACAAAGCAATTTGTTTAGACAAAACACAAGAAGTGAAATCTCCAGAATAGTGGAAACGTGAAGTATGTTTCAAAACTTGTGTATAGGTCGTTACATCAAAACAAGAAGGATAATACGGTAGAGTGATACGTTACAGTGTGTTTTCCGATGTATTAACCCTTTCAGGACCGGGTTAATTTTTATATAAAAAGTGCTGTTCAAAAGTTGAAGACCTTTTTTATTTTGCAATATCTCGGCTTCCCTGACAGATAGAGACTTCATCCTTTT